CTCCTCCTCCTCCTCCTCCTCCTCCTCCTCCTCCTCCTCCTCCTCCTGTGACCCCTACCCCCTGCGGGTGCGACCGGCGCTGAGGTATACTGGACACCCCCGCTGGGGTCCGGTCCGCCCAGCTGCAGGAGTCTCTCAAATCCCCAGCCCAAGCCCGTTCTTCGGGAGCCAGAGCTGCAGTCGCGTGCGGTTGCCGATCTGCGCAGCCGTTTGGGCTGAGGCCGGTTTTGTCTGGCACTTTGTCAATCTGGGATTCGATCCCCGGCGCAGGATGATGCGAGTTGCTGCCGGCCGCGCGCTGCGCGGCGCCTCGCTCAAGAGCGTGGCATGCCGGTTGCCCGGCATGCAGTCGGTGAGCTTGCTGACCCGAGGAGACGGCAGGACGAGCTTCACTCAGGTGCCAGAAGTGAAGGAGCGGCTGAATCGCTGCGAGATGTACGTTCCTGGCACCCAAGCAAAGCTGATCCCGAAGGCGGCCAAGTCCGCGGCGGACGTGATCGTGATGGACCTCGAGGACTCCGTCGCCGAGCATCTGAAGGACGAGGCGCGCGCAAACGTGGTCAAGGCCCTTCAGGAGGTTGACTTCGGATCGAAGACGGTCGCGATTCGCATCAACGGTCTCTACAGCCACCACACCTACAAGGATGTGATCGACATCTTGGAGAAGGGCGGAGAGCGCGCCGACGTGTTCATCATCCCCATGGTCGGTAACGCCAAGGACGTATATGCCGTGGACGCGCTGACAACGCAGGTCGAGACCACCGTCGGCCGCCAGAAGAAGATCGGCTTCGGGCTCATCATCGAGGCGACGATGGGCATGATGAACGTGCACGAGATCGCGGCCTCGTCCAGGCGCAACGAGTCGCTGCACTTCGGCGTCGCGGACTACGCGGCCTCGACCAAGTCGCGCACCACCAACATCGGCGGGGCCAACGAGCTGTACTCAGAGCGTGAATGACCTACCCCGCTCTCGCTTCCAGGAAACACCGAGTCATGCCACGCGCCTCCTCGTCGAGCGGCCTGACCAGTGCAGGCCGCAGTTTGGCATCGCTTGGTATCTCCTGGAAGCGAGGGTGGCCAAGAGCGAGGTAGGTCTGTTTCCCCCCCCAGGTACGGCGTGCTCACCCACGCCGACGGGGACAGGCCCCGCGACTTCTTCTGGGGCGACCCGTGGCACTACGCCATGTCGGAGGAGGGGCCCCCAGGTGGGGACGACGGCCGCGCCCCCGCCCGGCCCCCAGCCCGCCCAGCATCGCAAAACAAAAACAAACAAAACATTTTTTTGCGAAAAAAACACCTTTTGTTTTTTTTGTTTGCATTTTTTTTTTTTTTTGCAATCCCCCGACCACGCCCGGGTTCGTTCCCGAACCACTGCCCGAGGCGGGTCCCGTCGAGGCGACGAGAAGGTCCCAGAAGGGGGGTCTCGAACCACGAAGAACGCTGTGGGCGGCCGCCGCTCTCCCGGCCAGGGAGGTAAGAAAGGAGGAGGAGGAGGCGGAGGCGGAGGAGGAGCACAAGGAGGAAGAGGAGGAGGAGGAGCACGAGGAGGAAGAGGACGAGGAGGACGAGGGACACGAGGAGGAGGAGGAGCAGGGGGAGCAGGAGGAGAGGGAGGAGGACGACGAGGAGGAGGAGGAGGAGGAGCAGGAGGAGCAGGAGGAATACCCAGCCGTGGCGACGAGAAGCCTCCAGGAGGCCCCGCTTCGGCGGAGAGGGGCGCCCCCGCCGCCGCCGACTCGCCCGGCCCTCCTCCGGGCCATGTCCCGCATCGTCGTGGCCGCGAGGGCCAACGGCCTGCGCCCCGTCGACGGCCCCTTCGGCGACATCAAGGACCCCGACGCGTACAGGGCGCAGTGCAACAGGGCCGCCGCCCTGGGCTTCGACGGGAAGTGGGCGATCCACCCGAGCCAGGCTCGAAGGAGGAGGAGGAGGAGGAGGAGGACGACGACGACGAAGAGGAGGAGGAGGAGGAGGGACTGCTATACCCGAGATGCCAGACGAACAGCTACCTGTTGGTTTTGGGGGCAGCAGGGATGACCGAGGAGGAGATTGTGGAAGGTGCTTGTTCACGGATGATTCGGCGTAGCCTTGTTAATCCTAGACGCTTCGCGTGTCCCCGCCAGCCGGTGGGCAGCTTCTGAGAATTCGGATCGGCCAATGGCGGACGCTTCGCGTTCTTCCTGGGCATGTTCTTCATTGGCACGGGCCTTGTTTGGTTCCTTGGCCGCTGGCCCATGGTCGTGGCACTCCATACCAAATAGTCCATGCTCTTTCCTGGCGGGCTCACGACGCTCGACGCTTGGCTTCTGGTGTATGCAGGGTGCAGGGCACACACTGGCTCCTGGCGCTGGGCTTGTAGTTGAGAGCGACGTGCTCCTTGTGGTATCGGGTTCGACGTCGCGCCTCTGAACGGCTTTGCATCTTTCTCCGCCCCCCTCCTTCGTCGCTTCGTTTCGGCTCCCCCTCTTTCCCGCTCTGCCAGCTGTAGTTTAGGCTCCTGCCCGCCGCTGCGAAGGCCTGGCTGTCGCTTGACTTGCAGACGCCGCGCGGCTGCCCGCTAGCGGTCGGTAGACAACAAGTGTCCCCGCCAACCCATCCAGAAACGATGTCCAGGCGAGTTGAGGTGGGCAAGGAAGTGCGGGAGCAAAGAGGGGGACGGTCGAACCGTGCGAAGGACGGAGGAGGAGGATGTCGGATGGATAGATGAGGGAGTGTGGAAAAAAGGAGGATGAATCTGCTGAGGAGGAGGAGGAGAAGAGAAGAGAAGAGAAGAGAAGAGAAGAGAAGAGAAGAGAAGAGAAGAGAAGAGAAAAGAAAAGAAGAGAAGATAAGAGAAGAGAAGAGGAGAGGAGAGGAGAGAAGAGAAGAGAAGAAAAGAGAATGAGTAGGAGGAGGAAGAAGGGGGCGGGAGGGGGAGGGCGAGCAAAAAGGCCAGAGGTATCTTGGATGCTTCTCGGACTCTCTTGGGATATCTCTTGGGCGTTTCTTCGTGGCCTCTTGGGACGTCTTGGGGGTCTCTTGGCGGTCCTGGGGGGTTCTTGGGCGTCTTGGGAGCCTCGGGTGGGGGGGTCTCTTGGGGCCGCTCGGTGTCCTCTTGGGGGCCTCCTGGGGGCCTCTTGGGGGCCTCTCGGGGCCATCTTGGGGCCATCTTGGGGCCGCTTGGGGCCTCCTGGGCGCTTCTTGGGGCCATGCTGGAGGACATCGATGAAAGAAGAGGGGGGCTCCAATTACCGCCCCCCCCCCCCCCAAAGGGCCCAATGGGGGTCAAAACCTTGGTAAAACCAGTGGGTTTGGCTTCCTCGTCGAGGCCGTTTTGGATTCCATGACACCTCGCGAAAAGCCGTGTCCAGGTCCAGGGGAGGGGGTAGGGGGGGAGGGGTAACCCCCTCCCCGAAATTGGAAGAAGGGGTTGGAAGAGGATACCCCCTAAACCACACACGCCCAGAGGGCCGGTGGGATTTCCCGAGCTGCGCAGGTGCGGATGGGCAGTCGTGGAGATGTCGCATTGCGGGTACCCCGTACGCGCTGCGTGTGGAGGGCTGCCTGGACGCCAGCAAACGATTGGCGAGGTTTGCAATTCTGCGGGCGCTTCGGTATTTCAACGGCGTGAAGACGATCGTATCAGATTTGCAGGCGATGGTCAAACAAGGCGGTCGTTGGCGCGCAGAGGAGGAAGCCCCAACTTCGAGTGGTGTCCGTCGCACTTGGAGTTCATGGCCATGGTAGACCGTCGTCGCCCTCCTGGCCGGGACCCGATGTGGATATTATGCAACAGTTGGACTGACTATTTTGCCAAGGTGGGTGCGAAGAGCGTAGCTAATATCGAGCGGGTATGATGAGTTTGTGCAGCTGGTGTTGAACGAGCCGCGGTTGAGGGCAAGGTATCTCAGATGGGCGCTAACGAGAATCTGTCAGCAGCAAGTACGGACACAAGAGCGTGATCTACCTCCTGAACCAAGCACACACGAACGACTGCTGTTGCATGAAGACCTTTCTTCTCCTGCAGCTTAAGCAAGAGATGGACGTGCTGAGATTGTGGAGTTACTGCGTGCATCCACGCACATCTGGATAACCTGAGGTGCAACGGTCGCGGACGTATACGTTCTCTCGTTCGGCTGGAGACGCCAGTTGCAAAGGGTGGCGACCCGAGACGTTGGAGGTGGCGCCCGATGCCGCAGATGCCATAGCTGAGCCAAAGGAGGCGCTGTTCGATCAAGCTGTTCAGTTTGACGTGACTGGCCCTCGACTGGCGGCGGATGCGATTTTCAGTGCGCTGGAACATACCCCTGCTTGGGCTGGCAACGCGGTGGTGTGCATGCAGGCATCCGAGATTGGTGGCAAGCTCATAAAGCCCAAGTTTCTTTGTCAGGGTGTTGCGGCTGGCGCGAAGGAGAAGTACGCGGTTGAAAAACGTCCGAGGTTTCTTCGATCAATGGGGTGAAGGTACGGTGCTGGCCGAAGCGTTGCTCTGCCCAGGAGTTTCGACCAGGTATTGGGCATGGTCTGGTGGGTCTGGCAGCGGGCCTCGCAGATCCCCAAACCCCTCGGGGGAACCGCGCGAGGCAGAAACAGTTGTAGAGACAGCCCGGCGATGTCCATGGTCGGGCGGCGCAATACCGTGCTTGCCTCCAGGGTGCCTTGGGTTTCTCGGGTGTCGAGGACTTCTCTGCGGAAGGCGTGACGTTCCCACACCAGAAGCCAGTGGACGTCCTGGGGTCTAGGGGTTGGGCTTCTTGTGGGGGGTTTCTTGTGGACTGACCTCCACTGCTCCTACTCCTCCATCTTCTTTTCCTCCTCCTCCTCCTCCACTTTGATGCTGTGGTGGGTGGCGTGGCCCCGTCCCTCGGGTCGCCACCTCTGGGCGGTGCAGCGTCGGAGTGCTGCTGGTGTGGTCTCGCCCCTCGCGGCCCCGGCACGCGCAGTCCGCATCGTTCCCGTGTTCTGGCAGGTGTGGCCCCGCCCCTTCGGGTCGTCGGGCTCGGCATGACGCGTTGCAGCTGGGATAGTGGTCCTCCTCCTCCTCCTCCTCCTCCTCCTCCTCCTCTTCCTCCTCCTCCTCCTCCTCCTCCTCCTCCTCCTCCTCCTCCTCCTCCTCCTCCTCCTCCCCTTCCTCCTCTTCCCCTCCTCCTCGCCCTCACTGGTCCTATCGGGCCACCGGGTTGCAGAACGTGGCTGAGCTGCGCGCGGCTTTGTGGGCGAGTCGCTGTGCGTTAGTGGTCTCTGCCCAACCGTGCAAATGCGGTGCAATATTATTGCGTTGGGCCCCCACGTGCTGTGGCGGCTGTTCGGCTGTGAACTGAATTTACGATGCGTGGTCGAGTCAGCCACGCCTCCATGAAGGCTCAGGGGTAAAAGAGGCGGAGGAGGAGGAGGAGGAGGAGGAGGAGGAGGAGGAGAGGAGGAGGGACGAGGGAGGAAGAGGTGGAGGAGGAGGTGTAGGTGGAGGAGGAGGAGAAGGAGGAGCCAGGCTCCAAGAAGGAGGGGGATGACCAAGAGAAGGGGTAGGAGGAGGAGGAGGAGGAGGAGGAGGAGGAGGAGGAGGAGGAGGTGGAGGAGAGGGAGGAAGAGAAGGAGTAGGAGGAGGAGGAGGAGGAGGAGGACGACGACGAGCCAGGCTCCAAGGAAAACAGGGACGACGAAGCGAAGGAGGAGGAGGAGGAGGAGGAGGAGGAGGAGGAGGAGGAAGGGGCGGACGAGGATGACGAGGAGGACCAGTGCAAACCTAAGATTCATCAGCGATGTTGCAACACACCGTGCCTCCAAGGTCCCTCGTCACAGAACCCTACAACACTCATTTTCTATCGGGGGGAGTGCCCCGTCGGAGGACAACCGCTTGAAAATTCGGAACTGTACCAGAACACCGCTCCTGTGACTTTTTCGCCGCGAATCGCCTTTACTGCTGCGTCTTGACGACCCTGAGTCGTGCCAGAACACCGTTCCCGGGACCTCAACGCCTCGAGTCAACGTGACGGTTGCGCCCTGACGTCCCGACACCGTGCCAAAGTGAGTCCTTGAGAGTTTCAAGGGTTCACTTTGGCCAGCGCGTTTTAAACATTGTTGTGGTCGGTCCTGGCTTAAAACTACTGCAAACTCTTAAGACGAATGTGCGCGGCGCTCAGGCGAAAACCACATGTTGTAAAGGTACTGGCCTTCATCCGTGAAGCTCTTGCAAACTTTAGAGACGAATGTGCGAGGCGCTAAGGCGAGAACCGCATTTTGAAAACGGGCGCCCTTCCATCCATGGAACTCTTGCATGTTCTGAAGACGACTGCGCGCGGCGCTAAGGCGAGAGCTCTATTTTCAAAGCGGCCCGCCCTCCAGTGAAACAGCCGAATGTGCGCGGCGCTAAGGCGAGAGCGCATTTTGAAAGCGGCCCGCCCTCCATCCGTGAAGCCTTTGGTGCTTCTCAGACGAATGTGCGCGGGGCTAAGGCGAGGGCCGCATTTTGAAAACGATCCGCCCTCCATCCGTGAAGCTCTTACAATTTTGAAGACGAGTGTGCGTGGCGCTAAGGCGAGAGCGACATGTTGAAAACGACCCGCCCTCCATCCGTGAGACGATTGTTAATTTGAAGCGTCAGGACCATAAACGATGAGGAGTCTTAGGCAAAACGCCCGGCCCGACCGTTCGACAGGCCTCGGGGTGCGACATGGAGGAGTTATTTATAAGGAAGTGGGATGGGGGAGGAGGACGAGGAGGAGGAGAAGGAGGGAGGACGACGACGACGACGTCCGTAGAGGGAGGGACGAAGAGGAGGGGAGGCGGAAATCCCGCCCACTCCTCGGTGAGGGTGTCCGCTAGAAGTGGCCCTGCCCCAGGGTGACTCCGGCTTCTCGCGCCATGAAGCAGGCCTTCCCGGCCTGGCCCGGGGGCCTCCCGGCCTTGGAGAGGAGAAGTTGACAGGAACGCAGGCTTTCGGAGGCCCGCGCGGTTCCCTGGGTCGGCACCAGAGCCCACCAGCGCTGTGGAGGACGATCAATGGAGAGGAAGCGCGTTGCCAAATAATCTCCAGATGTCTAAAACATGTGTTAAACATGTTTTAAACATGTAAGAAACTCGGGGGCGGAAAAGAGGGGGGTGATGACTAGGGGGTGGTGGACATCATGGCGGGGGCCATGATATTTCCCCAGATCTCATGTCGCCTCTTCTTGTTTCATTACGTCCCTGGCCCCCCCGCTGGGCCACGCACATGCTGCCGGTCATGATTTGCACCCCCCCCTCTTGGACACCCCCCTCTTTGCCGCCCCCGAGAAACGTGTTCAAAACATGTTTAGAACACTTCCCGACAGTTTAGACACATTGTAAATTCAATGATAGGGCTGTTAGGGTGTCCATTGTCGTGGCATCCGCAACACCAGCGGCGCCTCCAGCGCTGCCCTCAGCGCGCTGCCGCACGGTCCCAGCGCCGATCCAAGGAGCACGCGCGGACCTTCGATAGCTTCTGTCCGTGCCGGTGTTCCTTCTGGCTCGGGCGCTGCCCGCAGTGGTCTTGGCCCAGGCCTTCCGAGCCTCCTGAGAAGGCCCGCCCCGTCTCACTTCCCTTCAAGTCGGGCCTGTCCCTCTACAGGGGGAATGTTCAAAAATTGGAAAAAATAGTCTGGGGACTATTTTTGGAGTTTTTTTTTCCCCCCCATTTTGGAGCATTTTTGAGCATTTCCTATTTCTCGCCGAACATCCCCCCGCAGGGGGACACGCCCGACTTAACACTTCCCCCCTGGGCGCGCAGCCGACAGGTGGCTTTGGCCAACGAGGTCTTCAGCCCGTCGGAGGCCCAGGTGGCGCTGGCGAAGCGCATCCTGCAGGCCATGGACGACGCGCAGCGCGACGGCCTGGGGGCGGTGTCACTGGACGGCAAGCTGATCGACATCGCCTCCATCAAGCAGGCGGGCCAGATCGTCTCCTTCCCTGCCTCCGACTCCTCCTCGTTTCGGCCTGTGTTCTGTGCGCGGGCGAGCAGCTCGGCAGCCAGCTCGACACCAGCTCGTGCCTCCGTCGGCTCACACGCGCGCGGAAGCAGGCGTCGCTTGCTGGAACGACGCGCAGGGACTCGGCAGCCTTTGTCTTAAATTTGCAGCGATCGTCTAAAAACAAAACAAGAATTCTGGACGCCCGACATGGGTACGGAAAGAATGGGTACGATGCCCAACACCAGTTCCTGCTCATTTTGAACCGGACTCGCTGTCCGCGCCGCCGCGGCCTGCTTCCGTTTGAGACAGAAGGCCGCCCGCCCAACAGCGGCCGCTGTTGGCTCGGGACAGCATCATTTGCCGTTGGGCGTTGCACCCATGTTTTCCGCACCCTTTTTGGGCGTCCAAAAGAATCCAGCAGGCGGGCCAGATCGTGGCCAAGAACGCCGCCATCCTGGCGAAGGAGGCGGCCTGAGCCTCGCGGCCGAGGGCCCGTCTCCGCGCCGGCGGGGCCGCGGCTGCGAGGCGGCCCCGGGCGCCTTGCCACCGGGGTTGGCCCACGGGGCGTGGGCCCCTCCTCCTCCTCCTCCTTCCTTCCTCCTCTCCTCCTCCTCCTCCTCCTCCTCCCTCTCCTCCTCCTCCTCCTCCTCCTCCTCCTCCTCCTCCTCCTCCTCCTCCTCCTCCTCCTCCTCCTCCTCCTCCTCCTCCTCCTCCCCTCCTCCTCCTCCTCTCCTCCTCCTCCGCCTCCTCCTCCGCCTCCTCCTCCTCCTCTTTCTCCTCCTCCTCCTCCTCCTCCTCCTCCCCCTCCTCTTTGCTTCGCGCCCACATTGGATTAATGAATCCTCTGGTACGCTCGCTGCCGCACCACAGCAGCAGATCCTCAAGTTCCCCCCACACACACACATCTGCTGTCTCCCCCACCCCGCATCATCCGATCCTCAGCTGTTGAAGAGACAGCATCGTTGAAGGGGACAGGTGAGGGAGGACACGATGCTTACAAAGAGTCAGGGCGGTGCATCCCCGCAGTGCCAGAGGGCCGTAACAAGCATGGTGCCAATGCGTGCACGCGGCCCTGGAAGGTGCCAAGACTGCCACGACGCATTCCCTCGCTGGAGCCGCTGAGCCCGGACCACGGCGCCCAGGCTCTGTGGGTTCGCTGGCCCAGCCCGTGCGGCGCGGACCCAGACGGCCCCAGGCCATCTGCTGCACCGGGCCGCCGGGCCCTGCAGGGTGGTGGCTCCTGGAAGCTGGGCCCCCTAACGGGGCCAAGGCGCCCCAACCCCATATTACCTCAAGTCCTCCTCCTCCTCCTACTCCTCCTCCTCCTCCTCCTCCTCCTCCTCCTCCTCCTGACCGCATGCGCAAGTTGAAAGGCCGCACCGGGCGTTTGTCCGCCATCCGCCGCGCCGGCACAGATTAGCGCAAAATCTACGCGACAGGTCTAGATCGATTCGGCATGTACGGGGTAGGCGTGACTGGAGTTGACCCCGCAGAGTTCGCTGCAGCCTAGTCCCGGAGGCGACCATAGGGGCGCATAGCCCGGGGGGGCATTACACATATTCGCCCGTGAGCCTCGCTGAAGGCATGGACCATTGGCGCCCCTGGATACATGTATTGCTCTCCCCTGGGCCATTCACCCCCATCGTCTCCCCCAATGGTCACTCTTCCTCAAACTGGTGGGTGCCCGTGGAGACTCCCGCTCTCGCTCGGCCTCCCTGGCCGTGCACGCCGGCAGGGCCCGCGCCCGCTCTCCTGTGGTCCAAGACTGCTTGGAAAGCGCGTGCAGATCGCTCCCAGGCCGACCCTCGTCCGTTCTTCCGGCTTCGCCCGCTTGCCCGGCCCACTCTAAGCCACCTGGCATCGCTCGGACGTGTGCGCTTCTCCTTCGGCGGGGACCATCGAGGAGCATCCTTGATTATCTGGCGAAAAAACCACGCACGAGACCGAACAAAAGCACAGGGAGTCGCTCGGACGTGTGCGTTTCTCCTTCGGCGGGGGCCATCGAGGAGCATCCTTGATCATCTGGCGAAAAAACCACGCACGAAACCGAAAAAAAAGCACAGGGAGTGGACGCCCGAGCGATGGCAAAGGGCCACGCTCCCCCGAGTCCCGGCGCCGCAGGCGGGAGGGGCCCTCGGTCGCCGCGGCCCTCTCCCTCGGCCGCACGGGGTGGAGCGCTTCCGGGGGCCGGCGGGGCGGCCACGCGCGGCGAGGTGGAGAAGCCTCGCCGAATCCGCCCGAGTCCTTCCCAGACCTCCTCCTCGCGTTGTGAAAAAATCACGACGGGATGTTTTTCGCTCTTTTCGGCCTCCGGGGGCCCTCGCCGGGCCTCGGGAGCGTCAAAAAACGACTCAGGATGCAAGGCCGGTCATGGGGAAAGGGTCGGGACCTCTGGGGGTCGACGTAATGAAAAAATCATGACGTCGGGGGTCTGGGTTTGCAGGACAAGCATCAGGAGGGAACAAAAACACACAGACACGATGAATCGTCGACTCCCCAGAAAATATGGGAAACATATGGGAAGTGGGCGGGAAGACAAACAAACCCAGAACATGTGGGAAGATGTGGGGCATCTTTTTATTTGTGTGTGTTTATTTGTGTGGTCTGGGGCCCCTTCAAAGCAGGACCCCCCGGAGCAGTGCAAGCTCTGCCCGGGGAGCAGAAGCGCGCAGCAGCACCTCGGACCTCAGCGCCTCCGCGCAGCCCGCGCAGAGGGGGCGCCCGTCGGCTTTCTCTCCCGAGTTCCTGGAGCTCAGACTTAAGTCGGGCCTGTCCCCGAGGATTTTCGACGACAAATAAACACCCCCCCCAAAATAGTCAAAAAATAGTCTACAATAGTCTGGGGACTATTTTTTTAGTATTTTGTTGCTTTTTGGGGTATTTTTTATTTCTCGTCGAAAATCCCCCTGTAGGGGGACACGCCCTACATAAGCTCAGACTGCAAGAGCAGTGGGCGCAGCACAACGCTTCCAGCATCGCTCGGAAAATGGGCCTGCCGACTGGCACGAAGCTGGACTTCAGCATTGCGCGGCGTCCCATCGCTGAGCGCGGTGTATCTAAACATGAGCGTGGCATATTGTTATCGTTCCTGTGCCAGTCCTTGTGGACGGCGGGATACAAAGTGGACCCGAGATGCATTTGTGGAGGGCCCTCCGATTCCATCTCGCTCAGGCTGCATCATTGCCCATGCACTCGTCGACTCCGGGACGAGCTGCTCACAGAAGAAGATCAGATGCTGATGTCTGACCCACACCGAAATTCCCCGTTCGTATGTGATTTTTGGGAACGGCCCGTGCCAGTGGCCATTCCCCCAGTAGGATCGGGCACAAACACTTGTCAATATTGGTGCTCGCAGGAAGGCCTCCCGATCGCGGAGGCTTTCACAGGAGAGGTTTTTACAGACGGGTACTGCTTTAAGGAAGGCCCAGTCACTTTCCACGCCGCAGGCTGGCCTGCTGTAAAGATTACACCCTCAGGGGAACTGTTCGCTGCAGTGTGGGGGGCCGTGGGTGCGGACTACCCCCAAACCTCCCCCGCAGCTGAACACATTGCAGTGCTGGCAGTTATGCAACACTGCCCCCACGTGCACATCATTTACTCCGACTTTCTAGGCCTCGTCAGGATGGCCGACGCGCCATGGGCCCAGGTTGCGGCGAGACAGCACGTCTAACCCTGGGAAGCAATCAGTAAACCCCCCTCCCCCCCCCCCCCCCTCATCAGAGGAAATTATAACGCTTCCGGCACCGGGGCCGGGGCGGAAGCGATATCCCCCGCAGGTCACCAGAGGTCCGCGGAGGGGAGGTCCCCAGAGGTTCCCAGGAGGCATCCAGAAAGGCCTCCACAAGCCTCTGAATGCCCGGTCCCCTTGTAGTCCAGAGCCCAGCGATAAGGCACACCTGCCCAGAGTCGCTTCCTGTGATTATGTGCGTTTCTGTGAGATTCGTCACGATTGGCTTCTTTTGAGATTCCTTGCCGTTTCCATTGTGATTATTTTGGGACTCCTTTGAGACTCCTCTAGTGTTTTTTTGATGTTATTATGGGGGTCCCTTGAGGCTCCGGTCATATCCGTTTGATACCCCATTGCTTAAGAGAGCATCACATCGACATCCGGGGCGGTGGATTATTTTATTTGTAGTACATGTGCTAACATATCGCGGGGGGGTTCGCGGAATCCGTCTGCGATATCCCTCCGTGGACTCTCCCATAGGATCCCCTGAAAGAATCAATTTCCCTAGTGCGGTCGCAATAGGGATTGCTTATGTCCACGCGAGCCCGCGTTTTCCAAATTCCTTAGATTCCTTTGTTGTTCGTTTGAGCTGCCGCTGAGATGCCTTTGCGATTTCTGTTGGGCTCCTTTGAGATTGCATTGAACTTCCATTGGTTCCTTCGATATCGTGCGTGGGATTTCTTGTGATATTATTATGGGATTCCTTTGGGGGTTCTTTCGAGTTCCTCTGACATTCCTTCGACAATCCCTGAAGGGAGCATCCCATCGACCTCCGGCGCCTGTGGATTATTTTATTGTCAATAAATGTGCTAACATATCGCGGGGGGGTTCGCGGAATCCGTCTGCGATATCCCTCCGTGGACTCTCCCATAGGACCCCGTGAAAAAACAATTTCCTTTTTGCGGCCGCAATAGGGTTTGCTTATGTCCACGCGAGCCCGCGTTTTCCAGATTCCTTAGATTCCTTCGTGGTTCGTTTGAGCTGCCGCTGAGATCCCTTTGCGATTTCTGTGGGGTTCCTTTTTGAGATTATTTTGAATTTCCAATAGGGGTCCTTTGAGATTCTGCGTGGGCTTCCTTCTGAGATTTCTCTGGGATTCCTTTGGGTGGTCCTTTCAAGTATCGTTGCTTGCGGTGATTTCATTGTTTGTCATTTATGATTTACCTTTGATTTCCGATGCGCGTCAGTTTCCCAGTGTTCTAGCAAGGCGGGAACCCATTGGCAAGCGTTCGTGCGCGTTGGTTCTTCAGGCTGTCGCCTCGCGTTGCCGCCAGCTTCGGGCCCGGGGGGGGCAAAATAATTAATTAATTATGTTATTTCATCTTTTATGTGCTAACGATATCGCCGGAGGGCGCCGCCCAAAATAATTATTTATTTTATTTTCTGTGCTAGCGATATCGCCGGGGGGTTTACTGTTTGCTTACCAGGGTTACGCAGGGATTTATATACAGATCTGTGGTTTGCCGACGTGGACCCCGCTTTCCGAAATCCGGAAGGGTCCAGCTCATGTGAACCCAGATGATCTCCCAATGTTGTCGCCCGCATGGTGGCGAGCGGTCGGGGATGATTTTGCAGGTCGCTACGTAAAGAAAGGGGGGCGCTCACATTAGCGCAGCCGTCGCAAGCAGAGATCGCTTCCTGGAAGGAGGAATCTGCATCGCTGCGGCGATGTTTGAGATATTGTGTATCTACACATATAGATGGTGCAAGCCGTACTGTTGTTTCCCTGGCTGGCGCCAACACGAGCGCTGAGGTCCACTTTTGACAGTGGCTTGCGCCAGCCAAGATTCATCACAGCATCGGTGCCGCAAGACAGACCCTACCTTCACCTCCGGCACCCGCC